TTGATGAGGTCAGCACAGAATGCACCAGCCACACTAAGTAAATAATTATTTATTTCAGCCTCTTCACCTAAATTTGGTCTAGTTAACATTTCAGAAAAAGAAGAAGAAGTCAGACCACCTCTAACAAGAATAATGACACAAGAAACCTCTATTTCCTGCAACCTGCAGTAGTAAGAAAAGCAGAAAGCATGAGCATATAGTTATGCTTGTTCTTCATGTCAACCTCAACAATGCAAACAAACCAAGAGTGGGCACTAGTGGGCACACCTTCCTTAATTGCAGTCTTTTCAAGAAAAGGATTTGTGGTTTATAATGTTGGTAATATGAGTCATTTCTCCCCACATATTATCGCATTACTGGTAATCAGGAAAATAAAAGATTTAATTCTCTTTGACTGACTCACATGAATATCTCACAATTGAAAATTCTTAGCCTGATATGAACTAACCCTTGTCAATAAAAAAACCAGAGTGGAAAAGAATGCAAGTGCTGATTAATATAATTTACCACAACTATATTGAATTGTTGCAAATAATCAGAGATCAAAGAACCTATAAAAAGACAAGTAAATTACAAAATAATAATAAGAAAGATAGTAAATTTTTTAAATATGTGATTGTGGGAGATCTGACTGGCAGAATGACTGGACAGATGTTTTTCAATAGCTGTACAATACGTGAATCCTTGTATTCCATTGACCAGTTCTTGTTAGTGACTCCGAAGGGCTTTTACAATTATTTTCTAGTAAACTATGCACAGTAAATGCATATTATCCTATTTCACTACAATAACACACTTGTTTTGATTGATTTGTATATTTAGGACTGAAGCATATTGTTATTAAAAAATTCTGAAATATGAGTAAAGTTTTATCCAGCTTCTGTTATTACGTCAGTGGTATTAGTTATTGCCATTTAAGTATTTATAAAATTTAATGAAGCAGTTGCTGAGGTATTTTTAAATGATATATATTGTACATATTTAAATAATACAAAAAACTTTGCTGAGTAAAAGTTCTATAGCAATTCAACAATAAAAAGAACTTTTGACCCAATCTGTATTATGTATAATTTTTTTCCAATTAGCTAATCTATTTGTTTTCTAATTATCTATTTAGTTACTGAGATGGTCTCCAAGGAGTCTGTCTAATGATTATTCATTGAATTTCTTTAATTTGTAGGAAAATAATTAGTGCTTTCACAACAAAAACACCAGAAGTAAACAGCTGAATACTAACCACATGCATTGAAGGCTGCTTGGTTAATGATGTACATAACATAGGTGTAATATTTTGGCTGGTTTTCAAAGTTTGCTGCAGAGATTTCAATGAAAGCTGAAGAATTCAACTTATCTATGTATCACTGTTGTCGTTGAATTGCTGGAAGATCATGAAAAAAGAAAAAGAATACAACTTCCTCAAAAGGAAATTGAGGAAAGACAAAGGGTAAAATTTACGATAATTTTCATTAATCATTAGAATTTTGATCTGTCAAAATTCATGCTTTCTTTTTTAAACATGCAAGCTAAAATAAATTGCACATATTTTAACATTAGGAATTGTGTTTAAGCTTTTAATTCCTTTATTACTGAAATATATTTTGCATATGGCTCCTACCTCTCAAATTCTCCCAAAACATCTCAAAACACTACTTTTTATCCATTGAAGTCCTTCCCAGGAAGTCCTGTTAAGGTATATTACTGCTATAACACAACAATCACAATTTCCCCTTTTTCCCTATTATACTAGACATGGATAATTTCTCATGATAATACTGATGCCATAGGTCAATTTTTATATAAAATTACTGGAACAGTACCAGTAGGTTAATCTCTTAACTATTTTGCTAAAAGGAGATTGTACAATGCTTCTCTCACAGACTTCTTGAATCAGAATGACCTTCTACTTCCCTGTAAACACTGAGAATACTTGATGTTCATTAGAAGCAAGATTTTTAACCTGCAATTGTATTTTAAGAAATTTTGTTAAATTATGCTTGATTTTTTGACAAAGCATTATCTGATAACCTAGGCAGCTAGTAAAATTTTCCTCCCTTTTTCACAATGATGGATGTTACCTGTCAAAAAAATTAAGTTGTACCTCTGTTACTCCAAGCTTACCATACATTTACCAGAGGTAAAAATGGACTCATCCTCTTGAAGCAAGAAATTTCCCTTGTGTCCTCCAAGCAGCGGTAGTGTTTATCACAGCATCAATCTGTTTTCAGAGCACTAGGCAAAAGCAGTTAAAACTCACAACTTTATCTATTTTACATGCATTATCCAGTGTGCGTACAATTTTAAAAGCACACATACATATATTTCTGAGTAGAATGTTAATAAAGATACTGCTGTGATCAGAGCTAATATGATTCTTTTTCTCAGAGTTACAGGTCATTTTGTGTAATACCTGACCTGCACACTTTCAACATTTTAATAACTCATGTTATACTTTTAATAACTCATGTTATACTTACCCTTGTCAATATCTTATACTGGGCTATGAGTAGGAACTCATGACAAGATTTGGTCCCTAACAATTTGAATTAGGCTTTCCTTGTATGAAAAAATAATAGTATCATTACTAAGTATAATGCAGGCTTCTCTAATTCCTGTCTTTTGAAAACTGAGATCAGAATCATGAGACAGTGCAATATATCCTGTCACCTGAGAAATCTTTGTTGACTTCTTTGAAGTCAGAGAAAAACATGGAACTGTTCGGCCAATAAATTTGTCAAAAACTTCCCCCCAATCCTGTTTCATCAAGTAGGTACATAAGCTGCTTTTATTATTGCTGTGACAAATGTAATTTGAAATCTTTGTAAGAAACCTTATCTAAAGTAAGCATCACCACCAATACTCATAAAGGTTAAAAAGTTAAGGTACCTCTGGATAAAGATACACAGAGAGAAGTCACATCCATCAATTGTCATCATTAATTAGGATTTTCTGAGTTACTCTGTGCTGGAGAGTGGTTGAAAAGAGCAGTACATATATGAAACTACTGTGTCCAAGTACGAAAACTTTGAGCTTCAGTACATGTGAGGTTAGTTGTGACATTTGGAGTCTAAGACAGGTGCTCTAAATTGCTTTTTAGAAGGACCTGCCTGTTCTCAGCTATTTTTTTGGGTAGCCCAGGGAAACAGTTAGGTGACTTGAAGACTCCTGTGCAGAGATTGACACAGAGGCAACTGCGTATTACCTTGTTGCTGTTGCTACCATCCCTTGTCAAGGTAAGTGCTGTTGCTCAGTTGAGTCTTCATTTCATAAATGACTCTCCAGCTGTGACATTGTTTTATTTTGACTGTGGGCCAAGTAAACACTCAATACAATAAAAAAATCCAAACGGTCTTATTCCCCCCCCCACCCTCAGCAAACATTTTTTCACCAAATGCGACCATGATGTACAGTCTGCCTACTATTTTGTATAGTATTATATTATTATTATTATATTTTGTTCACAGAATCACATGAAGAATATTCAAACAATTATAACTTTCTGAAACTATTCAGAAGTTTTTACATTTAACATGTCTAAAATTGAAAAGTCCTATATTCGTAACAATTGCAGCTTTGGGCAATCACAACTATCAGTTTTTATAATTACTGAAAATATAATTCTTTCACCAAACTAAGTTTGTATAAAAAAAAACCCAAACAAAAAACCCCCAACTCTATAACATAGACCTTTCAAATACTTCTTTGCCTAAGGGAGCCACACAAGCCTCAATAGATGACATTCTGTATTTTAAGATGATGAACCACCAATTTACTGAAAAATTCTGCACTGCAGAAATGGAAATGTGTATTCAGCCCTTACCAGGACCAACTTTATCAGGAGGTTTTCTGCCTGCCATAGAATGGCAGTCACCTTATCTGCAGAACATAAGCAGAAGCATCATAAGTAGCTAAAGGGCAAGACATGCCCGACAGCTGCTTTTGCCAAGAGAAGAGAAAGAAAAGAAAATAAAAACTAGCCCAAAAGAACTAAAGGTTAGTTTAAATGAGAAGCAGTGCGTTAGTACATTATTACTTAATTAGTTTCTAATGCATTGCCTTCCTCTAGAGCAAACAGAATTATTGGAAAAATAAATCCTAAAAAAGGATATTATTTACATCACAGTAAAGGAAAGAGAAATAAAAATGTCATAGAAGAGACTGAAAAAGTAGCAAAAGAGAAATGGGTGAAAACAGATCTGGATATCTTAATTTGTGGTGATTATTCTAGATTTGCTCAATCAATAAGCAAATTTCTCATGGCCAAGTCTTTAGAAAGTTTGATTTAAGTTCTAAAGAATTCTTATGGAAGGATAAAAACCTAATTATTCAAAACATTGTAAGGATTTAAAAACATTGTAGTATTTAAAAGGAAAGAGGATGGCACTGTGACTTGATATCAGAGCACATGGATTTCATTGAGTGGCCTTAAATTGCAACTCCTTCATACAAGATTCTTCTCTTGTATTATGGATAATGCTCTGGGAAGTCAATCAAGAAAGATGGCCTGTCCATCCTACGGCAATAATCATTGAAGCAGGATTTACTACAGTAATGCTCCATGAATCACATGATAGCTACAGATCTGGTGGATTCACTACTCTTTCTTCCTACTCTACAAGTCTTGCAATCTATAGGAATACAACAAATTCCAACAAGTTTCCCTGAATACAGTTAGATATGATGAGTCTCTATGATGAACCTCAAAATGCAGACACTTCTTTCAAACAGTATGAGATTTATGCCTCTTTACCAAGCATAGCCACATAGCCAGCAAAGCTTTCTGTGATTAGGCAGGAAGTAGCAGGATTTACTCTAATAAATAGTAGTCTAACTGAACCAGCTCTAAGCATTTATCTTGCTGCTTAAGGGTTATAAGGTGCTTGTACTACAAAATAAGTACTTAGGAGCCAATACCGTAGGAAAATATAAACAGATACAAGATGACAAAAGCTGCTGGATATCTTGACATGCACTGTCAGCAGCTTTATAAAAATTTTATTTACCTGAGGCTCCTCACTGGTAAGTCTTCCTTCATTCAGCTCTGTAGGCTTATGTGCTTGTTTACTCTAGAGATAAAATTTGAGGAATATGTATTTTTATTAAATTCTCTGCTGTGCTCTGCCTGCGTTGGCTGCAAACTGTAATGCGACATAACTCTAGTAAATTTAGACTGACTGCATTTTCACTGTATTGCTCTTTATAGATCATAAAATGCCCCAAACATTTCTTCTATCCTTTCATTATATTTTCTTCAACTTAAAATTTATTTTTGTTTAAGGGGGCAAGCGACTGTAAAATAATTACTAAGATATCTAGTATTATGTAACAGTATGAAACCGTCGATAAAGACATCTCAGAGATGTTACGGACAAGCAAATCACTCTGAGCATGCTTTTAGACCCTGAAACCTTCCCAGCAGTTTCTGAACATTGCATTTTGAAAATGTCCATTTCAGCTGCAACATAGCTTTTAGAGCTATAGCAGTGCCATGTGATAAAAGCGTACAGCATTTTTCAGTATGTAGTTCCACAGTTAAAATTACCTACCTTAGTTCTTAATGGAATAATGAGAGGTCAGTGAGTCCTGCTGCATGGCTTAACGGAAGAAAATACTCAACCAGAATGCAATAACAAGATGAAATGGAGAAAAGGGGAGAGGAAAAATATATGTTCTTTAAAGACTGATTAAGTAAACAAAGACAAAGTAGTTCTACATGGCCTTTTACGCTCCACAGGAAAAGTTCTGAGAAAATCTGGAGAGTAGAAATGTGCTGAGAATATGGTAAGGGAGAATCAAGATAAGTTAGAACAAATTATTAAAAGTCTTAAAGTAAATTAATAAACTGTACTTAAAATTCTATTGATACTTTTCTTCATAACTAAGTGTCCTTAATTAAATTTAGCTGAATCCATTTCTAAATTAATTCAATTCAGATGAACTGAATTAAAGGTACTTTGATCCTGGATAAGGATGCCTACTTAGAGATTCACTGAAACACTTCCAAATTTCATTCAGATTAATTTTTACCAGTGTCTGCATGTAAACAAAGCTCTTAAACTGAATACAATGGGAAATGAAGAAAAGACGTATGGAGTGTCACTAGAAACTGTTATTTTTAAAATAATCTCTTTAGTAAGAGACAGGAGATAGGCTTGTACTCTCTCAAGCCCTTTCAACTATTAAGACAGACGGATTTGATACCATTATTTCTTCTTCACAAATCAGTGTGGTGTGCTTTCAGAACAGCATGAGAGAATGTACTAGCAAAGATAATGACGCAACATGAGAAAAAGAGTTCTTAAGTGTTCTAGTGCCAGAAAGGTTTCCC